CTCGATCCGCCCAAAGCTGAGAGAGCTAGAGACAATTCTTTCACAGGGATCAAAAATGACCAAAAATGGAAATTTTTTGGTCGCGCCTTCGGTACTGTCCTTGGCTGTAAACACGTTATTGATTGCATACTTGCAGATAATAGAAGGGAACAAGAAGAATTTATGCAGGCGGCAGCCCTGATCAAGCCATTCTTATTGCATTTGTGGTCTTTTCTTCGCGCAAGGCTGTTCTATTTTGCGTCCGACTTTGCTCTTTCTTGCAATATTACGGACTCGGTGTGGCGAAATTTGTTACCTACAGTATAGGTCTGGGTTGAGGATAATGACGGGGTGCGTTGAATTCCTGAATCTGGAACCGGAACCGTGGAACTGGGCTGTTATCCATGCATTACAGCAATTGGCAGTACCGAAGGCGCGGCCGAAATTTTTCCGATTTGGGACGTTTTCAAAGAATTCCCCGTGGCTCGGTCAGTTCTTCACCGATTTGGATGAAACCATGCTAGATCTCTCGGGGTAACTCAGACGGAATTAGTGATAGAGACAAACCTCTAAAAATACATCATATTGTATGATGTAGGTTTTTGCACCCCCTTTTGAGATAATTGTGATCTAGCGAGGTCCAGGCATGTTCAAACAATGTGGTGTTTTGCAACAGTCAGCCGGGATGGATTTTGAAACATGTGATAGAGTCATAACTGTAAATAATTTGGTCTGTGGTGCTTGCAGTCATGTCGAGATAACAGGCAACCCAGCGGGATCTGAAATATTACCGCGATTGAAACATACATGAGATGTGATATACTTTTGACTCTATCACATGTTTCAGAATGTTGAGAAGTCTTCCCTAGACAAAATCCAGGCCAGGAGTACATGAATTGGATATGCCAAATCAGATTCATTGCCAAAAAGCCTCAAAAACCTACATCAGACAATGTGATGTATTTTTACAGGTTTGTCTCTATCACTAATTCCATCTGAGTTACTCCGAAAGATCTAGCATGGTTTCATCCAAATCGGTGAAGAACTGACCGAGCCACGGGGAATTCTTTGAAAACATCCCAAATCGGAAAAATTTCGGCCGTGCCTTCGGTACTGCCAATTGCTGTAAGCTGTAGGTGGAAGGCAATGCCGGGCAATTGTATGGGAGTGAAGGCCGACAGGGACCAACGGAAGTAAGGGGAACATCATAATGGCACCTGAAGGAACCACGCACACGTTCTAATTTTTCCTCACTCCCGCGGGAAAACCGTTGAGTGATAAACGAAGATAGACAATGGGTTCGCGTGAGTTTAACTCGTTGGGCTAAGCTATAGAGGTGACACACCGAGCAAACCTCAAGTTCTTTAAGATGGATAGAGATACACAGGTTCAACTTGAGCGCAACGGTATCTATCGTACGGATATTACCGCGTCATTTGTTTTGGTGAATAGATGCAGTAGATTCGTATGTAGTATGGGTCCACTCGTTCGTTATATCCGAGCCTGTGTCAAGCGGAAACCTTGGTCGGCGAAATCTTTATTTGTGAGTTCTCGGTATTTTTGAACGGTATGAACCATCAGGTTACAGGACTTTGCGTGCCCACACATGCACATATAGTACGTCTCCTTATCCATCTGGAGCAGTATATCTCATTCAGGTTGTGAACCTATCGAATTAACATTTCTTTACCGGTAGCCTTGCGGTTACCTGCCGGCGATCAAAATACATTCCGTGATTTGCATTGACTAGATTACTTTCGAATTTACACTGGAATCCGACGATAATTTTTCCCATTCACCCTCATTTAAAAACTAAATTTGTGGCTGGGTTAATCTCCTATGGGAAATCGCCGTAACTTGAAGTCGCGACGCAGCCACCGCCTCGCACCTACCACGCGCCTGCCTTGCGCTCTCCCAGCATCACTTCCAGCCACCACTTTCGAGTCTCACCAGCGATGAACGGCACTTGTATCCCCCCTGATCCTGATATCTCGGGCATCGGCGTCCGCGTGGCAATATATGCCCAAAATCTCCTTAGCTTAATCATTCACCCGCATGGCTGGGTTCGATGCTCAAAATATCTCTCGTGGGAAGTCGCCGTACTACTGCCGATGCCACCGCCTCACACCTAAGTATCACGCGACGAGTGTCCACCTTGTTCTCTCAATACCATTTCAAGTCCCACCAACGATGAACAACATCACTTGCATCCATCCTGACCCCGATATTTCAGGCATCGGCGTCCGCGTAGCAATCTACGCCCAAAATCTCCTTAGCTTCATCCCCGCCCTCTGGGCTATCTGGGACGGAGAAGTGTCTGCCGAAGGACTCGAGTCTGTTGAGAAGCAATCGACCACGATCCTCATCACTGCTTTCGCGATCTTGATTGCCGCCATGGCGGAGGCCCGAACGACGGGATTGTCGAATTTCCATGCCAGCATCGTGCTCAGTCTGAGCTGGATGAACAACACGAACACGTTCATCTACTTCTTACTTTATGTTCAGCACAAGAGTCAGCGGGGACTGGAGCACGTCGAACCGACCCTGGGACATTGGACCAGGCACATTCGGGGGCGCCTCTCGTTACAATCCACTTTTGGCCAACTCACGCCCAACGAAAAATCCAACGGTAAGTATCTTGCCCTTCAGCATGTAAAGTCTCAACGGTAGTGGCTAGGAGATCGGGTTATACATGCTTTCACCAGAAGGATCGTCCTTTTTCTCGGCTCCCTTCACCTTTCCCTCATGGCCGCTCTTGGGCTCTGGCTGTGGAGTAAACCACGGGCGTTCGGAACCGCAAACTCCTGTGCCATCGATTCTGCATCTACCGTCATTCTAGGAAATCGTGTCCGGCTTCGCTCGCCTACATTGCGCGCGTGGTCAATTGCCATTTATTCGCTTTTTCTCGCCCCCGGACCCAACCTCGTTCTTCCCATGGGACTCTTCCTCGTGCTGATAATATACACACACAGATGGCAATCAACGTCCGGTTCTGAAATCCCGAGCAGAGAAGCACGACCTCTATCTCGGGCAACATGGAAAGCATGGTATACGCCGCTGCGCTCCTCACCTGGTATCCTCGCCATCTTCGCCGGCCTGTTCATCCTTTTCGTCATCAATCTAATCTTTGTATTCGATATTGAACTTACCCTCCGACAAAGCCGAGGCCTGGAGGGCCCGGGCGCCGGTGAATCCGCGTGGACGTTTGGTCAAATTCTAGCATTGCTTTTACTGGTTCTCCCACTCCGTGATGTGTTGGAGACTCTGCTTGTGCGATATAGGCAGCGACGCGAAGAGGAACATACTACATCTTTGACCAATAACAGAAAAGCCTCCTGGGAGAATGCCATGAAGGCGGGGCTGTCACCTAAAATAATCCTAGATTTGTTCAAAAACGGTGCCGACGTCAACCAAAAGCTTGAAGGTACGGAACCCTCCAAGCGAAGGAAATTCTAGACTCAAATTTTACACTAGATCCCCAGTTCGCAAGTGCACTTCAGGTAGCCACATATCGGTCGGACACGGAGTTGGTGCACATTCTTTTAACTCTGGGTGCAGACCCCAATATCCAAAGTGAGAGCATTTCTTTGATCTACACAAACTGATGTTGGGAATCATGGGCTCAGGCCATAAGAATGAGACAGTACTCCAAATTGCATTACGTGCCGGGAGTTGGGATGTTGCCCGGCTTCTCCTTGAATACCATGCAGACCGGGATGTGCCGAGTGGGACGATCCTCTGCATTTTTTTACAATAGTTTGACTTTCTTCATTTAGAGTCTGAGTTGGCAACTGCACTCAAACTAGCAGTATCCCAGTCAGATGTGAAGGTGTTCAAGATGCTAGTTGATCTACGTGGAGACCCGAATATCCGAGCCGATGATATCCGTGACCTAAGCCTTCCATCCGCGTCAGAAAACGGAAATTGGGATGTCGTCAAACTCCTTCTTGAACTTGGAATGGACCCAAATATCAGGGGTGAGTATATTTTCAATGGCGAGAATATCTAACTGAAATGGCACTAAGGTGGCATATTATATGGGACCGCACTCCAAGCAGTGTCCTATAGTGGACATCTGGAAATTGTCAAGTTGCTTCTGGAACATAGAGCAGACCCAAATATCCAAGGTGAAGATTTTGGCTGCAAACATCTGTCGCTTATATGGTACTTGCAGGGGGATACTACAAGACCCCACTCCAAGCAGCGTCCTATAGTGGACATCTGGAAATTGTCAAGTTGCTTCTGGAACATGGAGCAGACCCAAATATCCAAGGTGAGGATGTTTTTGACCGTGAACATCTGTCACTTAGATGGTACTTGCAGGGGGATACTACGACACCCCACTCCAAGCAGCATCCTATAGTAGACATTGGGAAATTATCAAGTTGCTTCTGGAACATGGAGCAGACCCAAATCCAAATATCGGAGGTGAGGATGTGTTCGATGATGAGGATATGTCACTGAAATGGCACTCCAAGGGGACTATGGGACTGTGCTCCAATATGCATCTGAGGGTGGAGACATGGAGATTGTCAAGCTGCTTCTTGAACATGGAGCAAACCCGAATATCCAAAGTGAGGATATTTTCAATGATGAGGATGTGTCACTGAAATGGCACTAGAAGGCGGCAGGTACGAGACCGTGCTAGAAGCAGCGAGGCAGCGTGGAAATCAGGAAATCATTGATCTCCTCCTTCAAAATGGAGCTTTGAGATGATATTCAGCCAGCAGGAGGCACTTTAGCCCAGCTCTCTGTGATGATCTCTTACCGTACTTATACAATGTTTCGAGCATTTATTTATTTTGGCCATTCTCACCTGATGGCTGATGGATTTGGTTCACCGGTTTTTCTACTTTTATTCGGAGTCTTTGGGGGTGAAGCAATTGCCACATATGTAGACAGAATTGAAGTAGGGAGGGAGTTGAATAAAATCTGGAATACAGCCACATAGGTATAAGTATGCATCCGGTTAATCTCGAGTCCTTGGTACATATACACCCAGATGCAGGCTGAAGGACACAGACTTGATGGTGTAGTGCTAACGCTTGCTCAAAATATCATCAACGTCCATTTAAGCGGGAGCCCCTCGTTCGAACCGGGGTCAGGTCTTGTGTGGCATTCTCGACTTTTTTGACATTCCCTACATATTCTCTTGATATTTTGTACCATCCTTATATGGGGGTGTGATGCGCTCAGCTTTTTATTTATAAAACAGATGAGATTCCGGTTGAATGAATTCTTCAACACAAATTTATATCCGAGGTTTGATCCCAAGTTATTAATTCCTGATACATATACACTGACATATAGGTGGAAGGAAGGACCTGGTGGTGTAATGGTTAACACATCTGTTGAGTTTTACAGTGATGCCTGAAGATTAATATGCAGGAGATTTGCGTTCGATCCGTGGTCAGGTCGCGTGCGTCGAGTTTTTTTTCTTCTGCCTTTGAGTGAAATTTCCCAAGTTATTCTCACTGCTGCTCTTGATTGTTTTTTTATCACTCCTTTAAGATACTCTAGTGACTCAGTGACGCTGGCTCAGGAACACTGCCTGGCTACCAATGTGAGGGAAATTGATCGCATCACCGTGCGTTCCCAATTTGGAAATCCCCGAGTCCATGTGCCTGCCTTCCAACGAGCAGGCAGGGGCTTTCGCATCCGTTCGCCTTCTCCGTCTCGTCTCTCGGCGCCGCAACGCTTAAACCTCTTCCTGCTCTCTGTCAGTATCAATCCCTGACCCTCGCGGACGCCCTTCTCAAGAACGACGGGTAGAAGCGTTCTCGAGATGATGGAGCAGCTGATCTGTGTTTTTTTTTGAATGTTTTTCTTTCATTTTGTGTGTAGACGGGTGTTTTTTTTGGGCGGAGACGGGTTTGCGCATCGCGATCCCGGAAGCTTCCATGCATGCCCGCAAGCGTGGGCGTTTTCCGGGTTCTTGTGCGGGTGTTTTTCTTTGGATTTGGCTTGCACCCTTTTCTTCCCCTCGGGTTTAGGCTTTATTTGCCTTCTCCCCGGCCTTGGTTGACGCGCCGACACCTTTCTTTCCTTCAATTAAAAAACTAACCCACCTTTCTCCCAGGCGAAGAGTTTGCAGGCTGCTGCACAGACGAACGGGGTTGGAGAAATCCAGAGCGGCAGCCATGGCTGTATGTACGTACGCCTTTTCTCACTCAGTCCAAGCGATTATTGAAATGATCGCGATGCATTGCTAATTGGCAACGCAATCCAGGGCTGTACATATCAACGTGCTGACCCGTTCTTCGGCAGGGAAAATGCGGGTCCGGAGCTAATCAAGATAAGGTGCGTGTCCCGCCGCTTTTCATTTTCCCTAGGCTGCCCCTGCTGAATATATGAATATGGTTGAATAGTGCATGAACGTAACGGGCGGCGGAACGCCGACGGCACACAGTGCATCTTCGTCACAAACCGGACCCTGCAATGGGCGGGCACGAATAAGTGCCTCGGCCTCACCGGGGGAAACATTTCGGACGGAAACCAGTTGCAGATCTGGACCTGCGACAGGAATAGTAACCAGTGCTGGGGCGGCGCCACAACCCCAATGTCGTGATAAGTGAGTTCTTTCTTGTCTCTACTCCCTCCCGAGGCTCAACCCGTTTTCGGCATCGCCCAAATAAGACTTACCGGTACGTCGATTCCTTCGCGCGCGCTTGTTCCTGACTCCATTTGCGCGCTGGTGTTCCGCCCGGCCGCACGCATCTCCGCCTCTGTCTCGGTCCTTAGTACACCAGCACCAACCGTCTCAAGCCCCCAGCCTTCGAGTCCTACCCAAAAAATCCACCCCCACGCATAAGAACCGCTATTGAAACCACAGTCACAACCCCTCAGGAACGATCGCACTCGCACTCCTCACTCCGCCCTGAACTTACACACTCGCTTGGCGACTAATTTTTATTTTAACCCTCTAGATCTGCGCACGGCCCACCCACTTCCTCGGCACACACCGCCTCACATACTCGTTCCGAAACACGCCCTCGGGATCCACCTTGCGTATCACAAGGAGGAAGTCGTCGAAGCGCTGCAGGCAGTTGGAGTGGAACGGGTAAGTCTCTTGATTTGTGGTGGAAATTTGACGGCTGCAGCCCTATAAGTATTTTTTTTTGGGCGGAAGCCAACTTTCTGATTTCATCTGCTGTGTTGTTCAATCCAAGTCGCTGGGCCAACCAGCACGGCGACTTCAAACCCAACCAAGATTCGATCCCACGTGTCGCCGAGCCACCGAGATGAACGGTCGGACATGGACAGCAGAGTAGCCGGGCTTCAGCACCGAGTCGGCCATTGCAAGCGATGGAGCAGTTTGTCCGCATGCTGAACTCATGTCGTGGGCCTTTCCCCTGGGGACTAATGCGTCCTACACAATACTGATCAGGTACAAGGCCTGGGACAGGCACCACCGCAAGATAAGAGAGCTCAACATCTTGGGAAATCCGCGGAGGCTGTCAACCGACAAGCTGCTTTCTATCCTTGTCGAATCCGGCTTCATTTACTGTTTATTCTGGGTAGGTGGACATTGTACTGCCACCATGTCCTCAACAAATCAACTTTAATACCAGCTTACACAACTAATCCTGTTCTTCGAAATCTCCCGAGATTCGCCGGTCATTTACGTCTACGCGGCCAGATCTCGGGAATGTACCCCACTCTCATTATCGTCATTGTCAATCTCCATCAGACTATCTGCGAGGAACCGTCGTCCGTGAAGACCAACATGGTTGCTGGCGGTACCTTGCAGTGGGTTTCGGGCAGCAACAAGTCCGGGCCGACAGAAACTCCCCTCAGTTCAACGTTCGCATTGACTCTAACGTTCAATATGAAGGCGGCGGAGCAGTGATACACGTGGGACATATGGGCCTTAAACAGCCTGCCTACGAGGTTGTTTAATCCATGGTGCGGAGTTGTTCGAGGGTGGCTCACATCAGAGTTTTGACAGATCCCTGGTGGACCTTGTTTCACCTTGTACAAGGTCAAACAAGGTCAAACAAGGTCTAAAAAGGCCGCAAGGTCGCAAGGTCACCAGAAAGGTAGTAATTTTCACAAGGTCAATATTTTCTTCAAAATTTTTTTTTTTCTAGCGTTGATCTGGGACTGGTGGTAGAATTCATGTGGGGTGTTTTTTGACTCCCGACCTTTTTTGACCTTGTGAGCTTGTCGAAAAGCTCGGGACAAGGTCACAAGCCCAAAAAGGTCACCAGATTTTTGTCAATTGGCTGATGCAGAAAACACTTTTAAATTGTCGATACGAACTGTATGTTGTTTCGTAGTTTTGGTAGATAATTGAACAGGCTGAAAAAAAATATAAGGCTGCGCACGCAATAAAACTTAATTCGAGAGAATACTGTGGGTTGAGAAAGGTGTGGAGGTGAAACAGCGGGTAAATCAGTCTTACAACTTTGATAATTCAATAACAACTGGCCGCAAGAAAATAGAATCCGAGGTAGTCCAGTTCAAGAAAGGCATTTAATAATACTAGTAGTATTATGATCCAAGATCATACTGCTAGTCAACGGACAACTGCGTTCAAGTTCAGAGCCAATATCTATTGCAACTACGCATCACGACTCCAAATTACACATTCTGACCGGGCTGGTTGACCCAGATGAAGGTAGCATTGTGAACATTGGGCTGCACGACTTCGAAGGTCTGGGTGTTATATTGGAAGAGTCGGGCAGCTGCGTAACTTCCTCAGCGAAACACAATAAAGTTGGAGCTGGCAACTCACTGTAGGAGAGACCGTTCACGAAGAAAGCATATTGCAGGACGTAGGTTGCAGGGATGCCGTCCTCGTTGTCGATGTTGAGGATGACGGGGCCCACCCACCTGGATAATCGCAGTTCACGGAATGAAAGCGTCCGTCATAGAGAAGTGACATACCCATCGTCGGTGACTTTCTCGGGTATTTCGATACCGGTTGGCAGCAGACCCATCCCGAACAGATTGCTTCCGCTGGCAATCGAGTCCGAGTATTCGAACGTGACATTCTGTCCGTTGAACAGGGAAGGGGTATCGCGAGCCTGGATGGCGTTGGCGGAAACGACCGAGGCCAATGCGAGGAAAGCGGCAACGCAGAGTTTGAACATGATGGAGTGTTTTTAGAGAATGCAAATGTTTTGAAGAATTCAAGTGGGAGTCAAGTTGAACTGTTGAATGGTGTCGAAGTCGGAGGCTCTTTATACTGTTTACACTCCGCGAAGCGGTTCCACTGCGGCCAGACGAGACCGCCGCCTCCGGCGAGACATGGCCTTGAAGTGTCTAAACGTTACAAAAGTATGCTTCTCCCACCCCATTTCTACGTGCTTACCGATCAAACGTCGGTGCTCCGTCGGAGTATATAAGTACGAGAAGAGTGGGAGTGGGACTCGCCGTCATTAAGCGAGTTCCACTAATGATGAGCGGGCCGACGGCGCCCATCAACATATCATCAATCGGCAACTCTCGGCATTCGTGCCGGGGGAAGGCTCCCACCCTTTCGTTAGCATTGTCTTTACCGCTGGCGTGGGGCTCTTTCACGACGCTGGCGCTGGCCTTTTTTATTTTATTTTATCCTATTTTTTTGCGGCTAGATCTGACCCCCCCTTGACGCTCGCCACTAGGCCCGCTGTGTGGAGCTTTTTCGCTCGCCGCTGGGCCCGCTGCGCGTGGAGCTTCATACTCGCCGCAAGGCCCACTGCGTGGTGCCGGCCAATGAGCGGGGTTTAAATCGAACTGATTGAATGATGGGTGCTTGTGAGCGAGTCCCATTCTTGACCACTAACGGTCATTACCCGACGCTAGCCGAGCCTTAGCCGAGACCCACTCTTCTCGTCGATGCTCCGTCGGATCGCAAGGTAGGGTTTCAACATACGCGGAATCCTATAGGAAGGATTAATCTGATTGCAACGGAGAGAGAAAGACGCGTGTGTGTGGCAAAATGGCGGCGCGATGGAACATGCGGAAGTGGCGGGAGCTTTGGGGTCGGAGCTTGTACACCGGAAAACAAAGAGGGCGAAAGCGTGCATGGTGGGTTTGTATGATTTTCCGATTCATTGCTTTTAGTCATTCAATAGCCACGGCCATGGGTAGCTTCGCACGCTGTGGCTATATTTAGTCTAGGTATGGCTATATAAATAACCAGGGTCATCTACATATAGACGGACCCTGGCTCAGGGCTGTTGCACGCTGATGCCGAACTCGCGTAGCCGCACCGTGGGCAGGTCTGGTTTTTAATTCAATTCAACAGTCACGCGTCACAGGGCCCAGGGGTTGTCGAATAGGTTCGACGTCTCAAAATTCTAAAAAAAAGTGCCTTTCAGCAGCGAGGAGCCATAAATAAATCTCTTTTGCATCTCCCACATCGAAACTGGCCACATCTTCTGTATTTTGTCAATTTTCAACTTGATATCAGCCTAAACACAATAAAATCTCACAAAATCACTGGGGAAACCACTCCGGAGTAATTAATTTAAACAAGTATCTACCTGGCTTTCCCTGCTCCCACAAAAGAACCCAAACAACTCTACGATGTCGCTGCATCGTTCTGGAATGGTGTCGAATTTTTGGGGGTTGTCATGGTCCAACCTGGGCCCTGTCGAAGTGTTGAATATGTTCCAGATGCCCCCCTGTCGAATTGAATTAAAAAACACAGTACCTGACCATACCGGCTAGTTGTAGCTCTGGCTATGTCCAGCGAGGCGTTAGTGAGCTCTTTACGATCCAAGAGTAAAGATTATATACTTGCTTTCGAGTTTGGTGTCTAGAACCTTGGTTCCTTGGACTTCCGTCCATCTACCAACCTTTTAGAATGAGCACTGAAGCAGCGTACATACATGACACACACCTAATAAAGAAATTAAATCCAGCACCTGTGCGGGCTTTCGATACACAGCTCTATCCCTTTCGCTGCAAGCTCCCGCCACTGCTGTCGAATCTCTGTGCTGGGGGTCTGATCCATATCGTCCATCTACAAAGCAAACAATTCAAGTCGCCCGACCCTTGAGACCGCAGCTCGAGGGCCTCTGTCACTACGTTGAACACGACTTGCCAGTGCTGGTTATCGTCGTGGATGCCACAGTGCCATCCTCTGAAGATTCAGGAAGAAAACCTCATCGCCGCCGGGTTTAAATTCCTGAAAAATTGTGGTTGCAATGTCCCCCTCGGCCAAAGTTAATTCCACCGCCGACAGGGATGGCAAGCAGCGCAGTAGCAATAAAGTCTGCGCCATCATGGCACTTCGGATGTAGAGCCCCAAGTCACAGAGCTGGCATTCGGAGCGGCCTATGAATTGGAGGAGCTGTGCGACGTTTCTCAGACCGATTGGGAATCTGGTGAGATCCAGTTTTTGGAGTGCTGGCATCGCTAGACGCCTTAAAGATCAGGAAATTATTGATCTCCTCCTTCAACACGGAGCTCTTTGAGATGATATTTAGCCGGCACAAGAGACATTTTAGCCCAGCTCTCTGTGGTGATCTTAATTGGACTTACCGTACTTATATAATGTTTCGAGCATTTATTTATTTTGGCCATTCTCACCTGATCGCTGATGGATTTGGTTCACGGGTTTCTACTTTTATTCGGAGTCTTTGGGGTGAGGCAAATGTCACATATATAGGCAAGATTCAATCAGGGAGAGAGTTAAATAAAATCTGGAATAGCTACATAGGTATATGTATGCATCCCGGTTGATCTGAATTAAACTCCTTGGTACATACACACTCGGATGCAAATCCGAGGAAGACCTGACGTTGTAGTGGTAACATGCTTGCTCAAAATAGTTGTAAAGTCCATTTTCGTTCGAACCGGGGTGAGGCCATGGTCTCCGTCTCTTGTTTTTTGACGACATATTCTGTTGATTTTTTTATATTTCACTTCAGTTTTTCGCCAACCTCAAATGGGGGTGATGCGTTCAGGTTCTTCATTTACAAAACAGATGAGATTTCCGTTGAATGAATTCTTCAACACAAATTCATATCTGAGGTTTGATCCCGAGGTATTAATTCCTGGTATGTCATACATAGCAGACATAGCAATGGGTGGAAGGAAGGACCTGGTGGTGTAGTGGTAAACACGCCTGCTGGTTTTAGTATATCTCGAGATTAATGTGCAGGAGATCTGCGTTCGATCCGCGGTCAGGTCGTGCTAGTCTCATTATTTTCTTTTCTTGATTTTTTATTTTTCTCTTTCTTTTGAGGTCCCTCATTTAGAAATTACTTCTCGGTCCTTTCAATCCTCTCGTTGTCCTCAACAACCATCCTCAGAACTCAAAACGCAAGCTCAGGCACGCCGATAATCGCGATCGCAATCAGATTAGCCGATAAGGCGGCGATAACGATGAGCCAGGTGGCAGATTACACGTAATGCGTTTGCGCTTGTTTACGACGGGAGCCGCGGCGCGTCGCTCGGATCGCAGAGTCTCTCGCGCGTCTACGTCTAACATAACTCTAACATCAAGTCTTTCGTCTGCACCACCCGCGCCTTTCATCTGCATCACCTGCGGTCACCCAGCGCGCCGAAGCCGACGGCTACGACGACGACGCCCTCGTTTGTCAGAGTCGGAGCAAAGTCGAAGGAGGACACGAGGAGAGGATTCACTCGGGATTCCAGACAGGGGGAGACGTTGAGACAGGAAGACAAGAAGACAGGTGTGTGCTACCGCGCGTCGTGGGCGGGCGCGGGCTGACAGCGCACAGTTACAGCTTAGGTCCGACGAGCGACCATGGGGAAGAAGAAACAGCACCAGCAGCAGCAGAGGAACCGGACGCACGCGCTTGAGGAGACGATTGCAGGGCACGCGGAGACGGAAGGAGCCACGAGCAATGGGAGCGGGGACACCAACACGACCGTTCCCGGCGATGGAGACCAGGCAGCGCTGACGGCGGCGGCGCTGGCGGCGACGAACGAGCTCATCGCGACAGCAAAGGAGCTGTACATGTCACTCGGTGGCGGCGAGTCGTCTTCGGAGGACGGGGATGGGGTGGAAGGGGACGCAGAAGCGGATGCGGGGGTGGAGGAGATCCTGGGTGCAGACGCGGCGTATTGGCGGGCGTTACCTCGGAGCGTGCGTGAGTTTGTCGGAGGGGTGTACAAGATGAAGGGTGGGGGCGGGGAGGAGGGCGGGTTCGCGCGGTCGGTCCGGGAGGCTGGTGGGTGGTTCAAATCGTGCATTGGGAGAGAAGTGCTGACGGTCGGCAGCGGCGGCATTGGTGCCGAACGGCGTGCCGGGTATGATCCGATTTGAACTCCGCTCGCGTCCTGCTGACCAATACTTTTCAGCGGCGTCGCCTCCCACCTTTTCATCATCAGTGTCAGCGTCGTCCGACATGGGCCCGCCGCCGCCTCCACCGTCCAGCGTCTCCATAGGAAAAAAGCCCATGGGCTACCAGCAGGCCGCCGCGCCCCCGGCACCCCGCAGTGCTCGCGCACAAGCAAAGGCCCCCGTCACAAGCTACCCCCAGGACAAGCCAAAGCCACTCCCGAACAACAAGATCTGGAGCACATCCTCCAGCGAGGAGCGCGAGCGTATCCGCGACTTCTGGCTTGCCCTCGCAGAGGACGAACGCCGCGATCTCGTCAAGGTCGAGAAGGACACCGTCCTCCGCAAGATGAAGGAGCAGCAGAAGCATTCGTGCTCGTGCGCCGTCTGCGGCCGGAAGCGGTGTGTGCTCTCCCTTTCTCTGCATTCATTCCCCCTCATCGCACCCACACAGAAACGCAATCGAGGAGGAGCTGCAGGTGCTCTACGACGCGTATTACGAGGACCTCGAGCAGTACGCGCTCTACCAGCAACAGTACCTCTCCTCCAACCGCACCCTCCCGCCACCGCCTGGACCTGGCCCCTTCCCCGGCAGCGTCGAGGTCGACCGGAACGGCACCGTCGTAGCCGGTGTCGGCTACCCGCCCGCGCCCCATCACCGGCGCCCGCCGGGCAAGAATGCCAAGCCACGGAAGGAGGAGCTCGACGTGTACGAGGAGGAGGAGGAGCCGAGCGCGGACGAAGACGAGGACGACCCCGACGGCGAGGACGGGCCGCCGAGTCTGAATAGTAACAACAACAATGCGAACCCGCAGAGCCCGCAGGCGCCGCCCGCGCCCGCCCCTGCGGTCAATGGCCGCGGGGGGCGTGCGGCGCGCGGAGGAGGGAGGGGTGGGGGAAGGGCAGGCGTCGATATGAAGGGCAAGATCACTGCAGGGGTCGGCGCGGGCGTCGGAGGTGAGTGTCTTTGTCTCGTCTTTTCTTTGGGGCCGTTTCCTTTCATTGCGCGCCGCTTGCTTTCATTCCGTCCCCCTTCCCCGAGTCGGCGCCTTTGTTCTCCGCCCGAACACGTACCCTTATCTGCGCCATCCGTTCCACGTGCTCCACTCCATCGCATCGGGATGTGTTTCGCATTGCCTCCATCGCATCGAGATGCATTTGGATTCGTCCATCGCATCGGGATTTATTCTCGCTGTCGACTCGGGCTTTTGGGGTCCGAGTTGGGTCGGACGTGGTGTCTTGTGCGCGTTTTCCGATCGGTGGGCGGGGCACGTCCATCCATCCCGCCATGCGATATCGCATCGCCCAACTCCGTATCTCGCTCCACCCGCGCCTAGTCCCTTCTCTCCCCGTCCTTTTCCTTCCTCGCTCCGTTTCCCGCCCACTACACCCACGCCTCGTCCCTCCCGCCGTCCCGCCTGCTCATACGTCCCCGCCCCGCCTCGTTCTGCGCCTTCCGTTCAGACGTCCCCATTGTTCACTCCGTTTCCCTCCTCCGTTTCCCGCCCGTCTGCGTGCTTCCCCAAAACGGGAGGAGAACGGGGTGGTAAGCGGAGGAGGGGCGGGACGTAGGCGTAGGACATATGAACGGGACGGGTGGGGGCGGGGAACGGAGACTAGACCACGCCATGCATTCCCGTTCCTCCGTCTTCTTTCACCCGCCCTCCTTCTACTTCTAACCCCATACCTTCTTCCACCATGCCTTTTCCTTTTCGTTCTACCCGCCGACGCCATATCCTCATCCATCTTTTCGCGCCCACTTTCCTCTTCTGTTCTCTTGAACCTTTCTCTTTCTGCACCCACCCGCCGTACGCCAACTAACCCCCTTACCCAGGTCCGGGCTCAATCCTGACGGTCGCGGACGACCTGCTCAAGAATGACGGGCAGAAGTTTCTCGAGATGATGGAGCAGCTGGTGGGTTTTTCTATGGATTCTTCTGGGCGGGGCGTTTTGGCGGGGTTGTTGGTGTTTTCTTGCCTAGGGGAGGACGTGCTTTTTAGGCGACGGTGCACCCGTTTACGCTTTGCAATGCATGACCGCGGGGCATTGGCGTTGGCGTGGACTTTTCCGGGTCTCGGCGGCGTTTTTTGGATTCGTTTTATTGGGCCCTGTTTCTCCCCCATTCCTTCCTTCGACTTGACTTATTTGTTTTTTCTAAGGCCGAGCGGCGCATGCAGCGCGAGGAGGAGGCAGCGGGGGGCGTGAGCGGGGACGAGGACTCGGACGCGGAGATGGATGGGGAGGAAGAGGAGGGGAGCGTTGATGGTGCGTTTTCTTGTCGTGTTTTTTGGAGAGGAAAGAAGGAGCTTCTGAAAGACGGGGCGGGGTGTCTTTGAAAGACCGTCGGCTTCCGCGTTCCTTCCTTCCTTCCTCTCCCAAACTCCAAACTCTCTTTTTTCTTTCATAACGCACGCTAACCCTCCTCTCCCCCCAGGTTCCTCAAACTCGGGCTCAGACGACGGCTCGGAGGACGGGGACGGGGACGACGAGGAGGACGGGGAGGACGGGGAGGATGATGGAGGGGACGATGGAGGCGAGGAGGAGGATGGGGAGAGCGAGGAGAGTGGGGGGGAAGAGGTGGGTTTTCTTTTTTCTTGCGTTTTTTTCCCCCCTTCCCCACCTTACCCGCCTGCTTTACTCGCACCACTTTCTTGCCCGCACCGTGCACCTACTCCTCCGGCACCCATTTTCCACACCCTCACTTCCTGCACCCTCTCTTCACACTTCTCCACGCTTTATTCTGTCAAGTATGAGGACTAACTAACATGCTCCTCCTAGGTGATGACGGAGGAGCAAAAAATGGAGGAGGGCAAGCGCATGTTCAGCATCTTTGCGGCACGGATGTTCGAGCAGCGCGTGCTGCAGGCGTATCGCGAGCGTGTGGCGCAGGAGCGGCAACTGCAGCTGTTGCGCGAGGTGCGTGGATCCTCGATTTCAAGCCTTTTCATACTCAACGTCCTTCTTTTTCGCCCCGCAGCTCGAGGACGAGGATGAACGAGAGCGGGAGAAGGAAGCGAAGAAGCAGACGCAAAACCAGAAGAAGAAGGATAAACGGAGGTGAGTTTTCCTTTGTTTTTTTTTGGGGGGAGGGGATGTTAACGATGGTTTGCGATGCACAGACAGCAAAAGCAGGCAAAGGAGGAGAAGGAGGCACAGAAGGCGGCCGAGAAAGCGGCCGAGGAGGCGGCGGTCAAGGCGAAGCAGATCGCGCTGGAGGAGGAGCAGCGCAAGCGCCGCGAGGAGGAGCGCGTGCGCCGCGAGACTGCGCGCAAGGCGCAGGAGGAGGAGAAGACGCGCAAGGAGGAAGAGCGGAAGCGGCGGCTTGCGGAGGAGAAGGAGAAGGAGGCTGAGCGCGAAAGGAAGAAGCGCGAGAAGGAGGAGCGCGGGAAGGCGGAGCGGCGGGATCGGGAGGAGCGCGAGCGGAAGAGTCGTGAAGAGCGCGAGGCGCGTGCGGCCAAGGAGCGCGCGGCGCAGCTTGCGGCGGCGAAGGAACGTGAGGAGAAGGAGCGCGAGCGGAAAAAGGCGGTCAAGGAGCGCGAGGAGAAGGAGGCGAAGGATAAGGCGGAGAAGGCGCTTGCGGCGCAGCAGGTGCAGCAGCAACAGCAGCAGCAGCGTGCCGCGGCCGCAGCGAAGAGCGCGAACAACAATGCGCGCGCGGCTGCGGTGACGTCGCCCACACCGCCGCGGAACGCCAACGCTGGCTCCAGCTCCAGCGCCAATACCAATGCCACCGCGTCCGGGTCGAATCAGCGCGCGCCTGCGCCGACGACAAACGGGAATGCCGCACAGCCGAAGAAGATCCTCAACAAGCTGTCTGCGCCCGTCCTCCCCCATGTGGTCGTCCCCGTCTCGCCGCAGGTGCAGAACGCCGCGCCGGCGGCTGC